AGCGAACGCGTCGGTCACGAGGCAGCGAATCCAGCGCAATAGCTCACTGACTCCTCTCTCTCTCTCTCTCTCTCCAACATTAGCATGACTGGCGACTTTTTCTGCGATGTCCTAAGAGTCAGCGGCGTGTCCGACTGCAGCGAAGACCAATCCTAAATTTTGTTCGAAGGTAACCTGGGTCGCATCTACAGATGTATTGATGACGATAACGATGATATGTTCCGTTATATGCTTTGCAGTTCGTATTGGTTTTAGTGAGCGAGTTTCTGATTCTGTTTGTGGACTTGGTGTGTACTACTATGTTGTCTGTTGGGGTGTATAGGAAATATCTTAGGAGACATAGTTGTGGTGATAGGAGTTAGGAGACTGGCTTGAGCTCAAAGTGGCAAAGGAGCTGGAAGCGAGGAAGGAAGTCAAGAGTGCAAGCAAAGGCCAAAACGGGAGAGCAAGAGAAGAAAGAAAATGGTGAGAAAGAGGAAGTGAGACATGGTGGAACACCTGTTGAAGAAGTGAAGGAAAATGGGGTCATCAATGGAGGAGTGGCTGCCAGAGAAGTGAAAGAGAATGGCTTCGCAGTGAAGACGTAGAAGCCAACTGGGACTGGAAATATGGAATAATATGTAGATTTCTTCTGCCTAGTATTTTGTTAGTGATCTGAGACATGAAAGAAAGATCGGAAAAACTAGGGAAAAATCTAGGAGTTGATGCATTCTTTCCTCCATTGTTGTAAACTTGAAATTTACTGCGACTTAGTAAGAAATAGGAATTTGCTTATACCGATTATGTGCATTTAACGTTTTATGGAAGCCGGCTGTCCAGATTATTAGTTTTTTTTTTGGTCAGATCCAAATTAATGGTTGACTATTAATCATTTGGAGGAAAAAGAATACTAATTAAAATCATTTGAGATCATCAATGATTCGTATTGCATAGGGTTAATACCACGAAAAATTCTAAACTGGTACACTTGTGATAAATTTATCCAAAACTAATTTTTTGACCATCACAAACTCCAAATTGGTACATTTATGATAAATTTACTCTCTGTTAAATTTGATTAATATCACAAAGAACTACAAATTAGTAAACCGTACAAATGGAGGGTTAACTCTATTGCATAATCTCCTATGCACACTCAAAAGATTCCATTTGGTTGAAGGAAAAAAAGAAAAAGAAATTGTAACTGTGGAATTTAAAGAGAGGACATATTAAGTTGGTGATGTCAAAGGAAAACTCCAAATTTTGTACTTATATATCTTGAGTCTCCAAATTGAAAAACGACTTCTTTTGCTCGCTTAAACTTAAATATCTTATTCTAATATGCGTAACCAAATTATATTATCCCCTATTTGTACTCAACATGCTTGATTAGAATGATGATGGTATTGGGGTTTGCGATATGCTTGGGCAATAAGTCCCGAAATAAAGAAGGAAACCGGAGGGGTCTAAATGTGATGGCACCTATTTCCAGTCGACCAAAGAGTTTTGGTTTTGGCCCCATTGTTTGTTCATTTTCTATTTTATTAAAACCGTCTTTTTGTTTTTGTTCTCGATGTTAGAATATTTAAATAATAAATTACGTTTTTATTTAACAGCTTAAACTTTTAAAACAGTTATCTATAGTCTTACCAAATCTCACATGATATTATAACTAAAGTTTCCGTACAAAGACGCGTCTTCGCAGCATCGGAAAATTACTGTGTGAAAAAGAAAAACTGGAGGGGTCTAAATGTGATGGCACCTATTTCCAGTCGACCAAAGAGTTTTGGTTTTGGCCCCATTGTTTGTTCATTTTCTATTTTATTAAGCCCGTCTTTTTGTTTCTATTCTCGATGTTAGAATATTTAAATAATAAATTACGTTTTTATCTAACAGCTTAAACTTTTAGAACAGTTGTTTATGATCTTATCAAATCTCACATGATATCATAACGAAAGTTTCCGTACGAAGATGCGTCTTTGCGGCGTTGGAAAATTACTGTGTGAAAAAGAAAACTTGACTTGGCGACGCGTCACCGACGTTGTAACCCGACCACCGTGGCTCTTGGTTAGACAGAATGAGGCTTGGGTGAACACTGTTTAGCTTCTTTTGATTGCTAGGGGTGCACTGATTTATTTGGGCTATGGGTGCATGGGGTGCACATCGCACCCGATGCACTTAAGGATTTCCTGAGGAACGACGGTTCTGATACAAAGTTAAAGAAATAATGAAGTGGAAAGTAGGATTGAGGAATTTGTGTTTATTTCAATGTATCATAATGAAGATTACACCAGTCTCTATAGGCTTTATGAGGCGACTTTTTAAGGCAACATATATTAATCAAGATATACACAATTAATAGAGATATGCGTGCAATCTTGAGAGATATAGATAATCAACAAAATCTGAAAAATCTCTAATATAATATCGCTAACACTTGGGACAAAAATAATCATAACTATCAATAAAAACTCTCTAATATAGATAATTATCATATATCTTTTATATATTTTATTTAAACGTGACTTCATCTTACTTTTTAATCTTTCAGTATCTTCCATAAAATAATCACAAAAAGTAAATAATTAAATTTCATTCACCCTCCAAGAATCAAATTACTTCACTCAATCAATAACTATCCTCACTTAGTCAAAAGATAACGATAATCTTTCCTTAGGTTATTATTTTTTAGATCAAAATCGTGCAACATTTAGACTCCTTTCGACTTGTTTAATTCTTAAGAAGGTCATCTAAGCTTAGCCTTCCCCTCGTCAATTGCTTGCTCGCTCACTCGGCCCATTTCGAGTAGTAAAGAGAAATCATATGAAGGAGTGTTTGGATAGAGAGTACACTCTTGTTTGTTGTTGTGTTGGATATGAAATTTTACAAACGAAAAAAAGGTGACCCTTCTATATACCCAGATCCCTCAAATTACAATTATATATCTCATTAATCTAATGATGAATATTTAATCTCCACACATACAATTTATACTCAGTAATTACAAGATTTCTCTAGAATACAAATAGAAATTCTCATAATGCCCCTAACAATTTTCCACAGTATCCCAAAAAAATCCTAGATCCCTAAAAGCTTTAAGGCATGCCTGGTCATTTTGGCCACTTCCCAGGCCTTTTGTTTTGTAAACTTGCATGTCGTGACACAGACGTGAGCTCAAAAAGGTACAAGACAAGACGTGGCATTAAATTTTTGGGTGATATGCTTGCTTATCGGGGTTAATTCAAAAAATATATCAATTTTAGGTGAGGGACAATTCTGCCCGAACTTTTTGTTCCATAAAAAGCATCAACTTTAGGTCGAAGGACAATTATGGCTGAACTTTTTTTGTCCCGTAAAAAGCACCAACTTTAGGTCGAGGGACAATTCGGCTCGAACTTTTTTTGTCTCGTAAAAAGCACCAACTTTCACTTAAATCCCAAATCGGCCCTTATTGACTTAAAACCATTGATTTTCCAACTTGACTATTCCACCTTAGCAATAAATCCACGTGACTTGCTAGTGATTTAAAGTATTATTCATTATCTTATTCTCTAAACCACGCTTGAAGAATAACGGTGAAAGCTGTTCATCTCCTTCACTTCACCTGGCAGTCAAAAATATCTTCGATTGAATCTTTCGCCAAATTCGTCGTTTGTCGTTCTGGCCGTAGACCACCGCTCGTCAGACGCCATGGAAGAGATTCGCCGGGCTCACCACCATAACTTTTTTCTCAAACAAGGGTAACTTGAGACAGAAAATCAATGGGGGCCAAATTTGGGATTTAAATGAAAGTTGATGCTTTTACGAGAAAAAAAAGTTCGGACCAATGTCCCTCGACCTAAAGTTGGTGCTTTTTATGGAACAAAAAAAGTTCGGGCAAATTTTCCCTCGACCTAAAGTTAGTGCTTTGTTTGGAATTAACCCTTGCTTATCGTTTCAACCGAAAATAAAAACTTAAACAAATAAAAAGTTTGGCAACAATGACCAGAAATTTCCGAGGACATCGCTATCCGAGATAGCCTTTTCAAATTTTTGTCTGACAAAAGACGCAAAGCTTCCAAAGCAGGCCGGTCTTATAAATTAGACTATTCTTTCTTTGGTTCCAAACCTTGTATCATGACATCACATAGATGACGTTAGAAATCAATTAATCCAACCACCTTAAATATTTTAGGTTCTTTAATTAGGTTGAGCAATTTACTTTGGCAACATTGTGTACCAACAAACTAACTCAGGATTAGGTCAAGACTTTGCGCCATATGTGCAGCAACAAAGCGGTATTGTTCTAACAACATCGCGACCATGATATAAAACATTGTTGCCGCTGTTGAAATTTTTTTCTGTGTTTCCAGAAATAAAGTTAATTTTTATTTATTTATTCTACTTTAACTCTCAACTCACTCTCAAATTTTTACCCTGCCTTTTTGTAAAGCGTGAGAGTCGAAACTCACATCTGAAACTAAACATGCACACTCTTAGCCCCTCTAAGAATGTGGAAAATCAAACTTTCCACCTTCCTCTCCCAAATAAGAAAGGTGGCCTTTAGGGCAAACCTTAATTGTTAAATAAAGCTACTTAAGCTGTTGAAGCTAATAGGGTAACATGAGATTATTTTCTCTTTTGATAACTTATGAACTTGTCCATACTTCACTACCCAAGCAAACAAACGGCCCTCGTACAAACGAATGTTTTGTAGAGAGCTAATATTCCTTGAGACAAAAGGATTGAAACCTCGGGACCACAACCCGTTGTATTACCACTTGATCATGCTCCATTTCGATTTCTATTCAATAGTAACTAACGCTAGTATTGCTCTAAAATGGAGGGTTTTCGATTTCACATCTAAGTGATACTATAGGATTAGGTACCAAATGAGCAGGCTGACTTACTCCTGCGGAATCAATGTGGAAAAGATTCATTCACAACCACGACAGAGGATTTCCCGAAAAGTTGCTTCGATTTCATAATCAGGAACATAATAAATTAGTTATATATGGTTTCATAAGCTCTTGATTATTTCACTTCTGCAGTGATGAAGTATGAATAAGAAATTATGCACATGTCAGACTTCAGAGACTTTCATTGATGAGAAGAGACATTTAAAACTCTTAAGAGAAGCGTTTTCCCAAATATGTTTGAATGATTTTTCTTTTCCTTTTTCACCTCCTCTTGTTCATAAAAAATCAGCAATCATAAAATCTTTTCTTAATTTTTCGCCATTTGTCAAAGAAAATTAATTTTCGTTACCTTCATTATTGATATTACGGATAATTTGGAAAATATGTTACTTTTTTCGTGAAACAAAGTATATGATCACGATTGATCATGACCTGAAAATGTTAATCAAAGACGTGCAAGGCTTAATCAAGCTCTCTTTATGGTCAAGTCAAAAAAGAATTAACTAGAGAAGGAAAGAAAACGAGTTTGGGACTCTTGCTAATACGAATTGATTAACTGGAGGAGAAAGCAAAAACGAATTGGGACTCTTGCATCCAAAATAGTTTACACAAGGGCAATCCGAAGTGAGACAAAAATTAATATATAATTAATGTCGTACTCATGTCAAGATGATATTATAGATTAATATACGTCTTTTTGTCTCGTAGTTGTCGTATATATTTTATATATCTAAATGCAGCATCATTTCGTCTTACTCTTCGGAAACTATCCTTCATTAGACTATAATAAAATATAAACAATTGAATTTTATCAATCATCTTGGAATCAAATTACTCCACTCAGAAAATAACTACCCTGGCTTGTTATCCTCCGATCAAAAAATTACTCACCTTTTCTTTTTGGTATCTCTCTATTTATTGTTTTTTTGTTGCGTATATTTAACTTCGCATGAGCAATGTGCGACGCTTAAACCCTGTTGACTCGTTCACCTCTTGGTAAAGATGCTTAAGCTCGGGTTACCCCTCTTCGATTGCTCACTCGCTTACTTGGCCCACTCCGGATCGTAAAGAGAAGCTTTGGAGAGAAGTGTTTTAGGAGAGAAAACTCTAATATGTTTTGTTGTGTTGGATATGAGGTGTTACCAAAGAAGGGAGATGACTCTTACATATACCGATCCCCTCAAATTACAATTCTATGTCTCCTCTGGATCTAACAGTTAAGTTCCAATTTCCCAATATACAATCTACCCCTATCAATTATAAGATTTCTCTAAAATACAAGTGAAATTCTCATAGTATCCCTAAGAATTTTTTAAGTATACTCCAGAAAACCCTGCACTCCTGGAAGCTTTTAATCCATACGGTCATCTTGGCCGCCCCCGCGGCCTTTTGTGAACTTAAAATTGTTTGAGTGATATGCATGCTTACTGTCTCCGCTGAAAGACAAAATTAAACAAATTAAAAGTTTACCAATAAGACCAGAAATTTCCAAGACATTGCTTTCCGAAATAGCCTTTTCAAGTTTTTCTTTGTGGCCCTAAAGGAAGCCAGGCTCACAAGTTGGGAAAATTGTCCAAAAAGTCCTAAACTTATTGTACTTTTGCCAATTCAGTCATAAATCTTTCAACTTTGCTAATTGAATCCTAACCCTTTTCATTTCTTGCCAATTGAGTCTATCTGGCCAATTTTGGCCGGAAATCGCTAATTTGGACACTGGACGGCCACATGGCGCTGACGTAGACATTTTAAAATAATATTTTAATAATTTATGATTTTTGTATTTTTTTTTCTTTTCTTTGTTTCTTTTTTGGGTTGTGAAATTAGGGCCGGCGACACTCGCCGGCTCTGGGCAAGGGCGTCGCGGCCCTCGCCAGCTCTGAGCGAGGGCTTGCGCGCCCTCGCTTTGGCCGGCGAGGGCGTCGCGGCCCTCGCCCGTGGCCGGCGAGGGTTGGCCAGCCACCTTCACTAGCCCTAACTTTCAGAACACAGAAAAAAAAGAGAGAGAAAAAAGCATAAAAAATTCATTAATTATTAAAATATTATTTAAAAATGTCCACATCAGCGCCACCCGGCATCCACGTCAGCGATTTCCGGCCAAAATTAGCCGAATGGACTCAATTGGCAAGGAATGAAAAGGTTAAGACTCAATTGGTAAAGTTAAAAAGTTTAGGACTGAATTAGCAAAAGTGCAATAAGTTTAAGACTTTTTGGACAATTTTCCCCTCACAAGTTAGGCTGTTCTTTCTTTGCCTCCAAGTGCTTAAATCATGACGTCAAATAGATAGCGTCGGAAGGTAATTAAGCCGGCCACCTTAAATATATTAGGTTCTTTAATTAGGGTGATGAATAACTACTTTGGCAACAAGTGTCTAAAAAAGTTTGGCTCAATTTAGTTTTTTTTTATATGTCTTATCCCTAACTCTCATTTCTCTCTGACTTTTGCTCTGTCTCTTGCAGAGTGCGGGATTCGAACCCCACATCAATAATACTAGCGTCTCCACCCCCTAATCTCTATATCAATAGGGCCGCATGCCTTTGATGGCTCAATTTAGTTCAATTGCTTGATCTTGTTGTTTTTGGAGATTCCAAATTATCTTGCCAATGTTGAAATTTTTGCTGTATTTCAAGAAATAAAGCTACTTAAGCTGCTGAAGCTAAACAGGTAAAATGATATTATTTTTTCTCTTTTAATAACATCAAGCCGCCTAACTAGTCATGAGGACACAATGTCCATTTCAAACCAGAAGCTTCATGCCGACTAACTTGGACCGGAAGGTATCCCTAGTCAGGACACTCTACGTTCAACTTCCAGGAAAATGTTGTGTTTTCTCTGTAAGTGTCCAAAACTTCTATGGTTTGGTGATTGGTGATTGGTGATAGATAAGAGCACCTCATAATCGATTTAAGAACGTGGACCATCTGCCACTTAATTATAAATTAGAGTTAGAAAGATTTGCAAGATTGTAATTGCTCCTCCTCTTCCTAGAAGCCTCGTTTTGGGGGCCTCCCGTTGTAAATATGACATCACACTCTATGACATCAGAGTCTTAGTCAGAACAGAAACCATTTTTGTTTCCTTATGTTGTCATCTTTCTAGTATGAGATTAGAGTCCACTCTTAGAGCACCTGACTAATCTCACAGTTCCCAACATTCTATTTGCTTATTGCTCGGCGCATTTAAAGCGCGAAATAGTGCAGAATTCGGTTCCGAAGCTTAACCCGCCTCATGTCAGCAGATCCTGCATTCATGTGCTCATACAATTCCATATTCGACAATTCGAGAAGAGACTTATTCAGTCATAATATGGTGGCTAGCAATTCTACCTACTCCAAGTGACCACCACTGAACCTAGAGAGACTCTCACGGATGATCAGGTCTTCACGATTGAGGGTCAATGATGAGGTCTGCACGGAACTAGTAAGCATTTTCCTAGTGAGTTGTGGCACCAAAAGACGAAATCTGAATCACTTTCATTTGTCATGTGTAACTAGCTTTGATCTTATCATATCCCTTCCCATAAACAAATAATAAAATTCTGGGAAATGTTTCTTGATGCCCAAGAATGAATATCCAATAACATAGCTTCTCTCTCCCTATATAAAGCAGCCACAGGAGGAGTTTCAGGACTACTTCCTCAAACTAATTCACTACACTGGACCTTCCCACAAATTTCATTATAGGAAAAAGAAAACATGTTTCCTGGAGAGATGCTCACGGGCTTCGGATCTGCTATCGGCGGTCTGGTAGTCATATGGGCCATGTTCCATCAATACATCCCTCCCCAGATCCGGCAGCATATGGAGCGGTACACCCACAAGCTGGTGCGCTTGGTCAATCCGTACATCCAGATTGTGTTCCCCGAGTTCACAGGGGAGAAGCTGAGGCGCAGCGAGGTCTACACGGCCATCCAGAACTACCTCAAGGAGAATGCTACCGCGCGGGCCATGCGGCTCAAGGCGGACTCTGTCAAAGATAGTACCCAGTCTCTCATTCTGAGCATGGATGACCACGAGGAGGTCACGGACGTGTTCAAGGGGGTGAAAGTCTGGTGGTCGTCGAACAAAACCACCCCCAAGAACATGTCCTTTTCCTTTTATCCGAAGACGGAGGACCAGAGGTTTTACCAGCTCACTTTTCACCGGAGGAACCGGGAATTGATCACACAATCATATGTCAAGCACATCTTGACCGAAGGAAAGGCGATTGCCATTAAAGACCGGCAGCGTAAGCTCTATACAAACAATCCTAGCCAGAATTGGCATTATTACAAGCAAACCAAGTGGAGCCACGTGGTTTTTGAGCACCCCGCGACGTTTGAAACTCTGGCGATGGAGCCGAACAAGAAGCAGGAAATCATGAATGATCTCAAAAAGTTCAGCGAAGGGAAAGAGTACTACACCAAAATAGGCAAGGCCTGGAAGCGCGGTTACCTGCTCTATGGTCCACCCGGGACCGGTAAGTCCACCATGATCTCTGCCATGGCTAATTTCTTGAACTACGATGTATACGATCTTGAGTTGACGGCGGTCAAAGACAACACTGAGCTGAAGAAGCTATTGATTGAAACTTTGAGCAAGTCTATTATCGTGATCGAGGACATCGATTGCTCGCTTGATCTGACGGGCCAAAGAAAGAAAAAGGAGAAGGATGAGGATGACGATGACAATGACGAAAATTACAATCCCGCGAAGAAGATGGAGAAAGAAGAGAAGAAAGGCAGCAAGGTGACTCTCTCTGGTCTTCTCAACTTCATTGACGGTATCTGGTCAGCTTGTGGGGGAGAGAGAATCATCATATTCACCACTAACCATGTGGACAAGCTCGACCCTGCTCTCATAAGGAGAGGAAGGATGGACAAGCACATTGAGATGTCGTATTGCTGCTTCGAGGCATTCAAGGTTCTTGCCAGGAATTATCTGGACATTGAGGATCACCCGCTATTCACAACGATTAGCGGACTGTTTGACAAGACCAAAATGATCCCTGCTGATGTCGCAGAGAACTTGATGCCTAAGTCTGACAACGAAGATGCGGAGACTTGCTTGAGAAAGTTGATTGAAGCGCTCAAAGCGGCAAAGGAGCTGGAAGCCGAGGAAGAAGCGCGAGCAAAGGCCGAAAAGGAAGAGCAAGAGAAGAAAGAAAATGGTGAGAAAGAGGAAGTGAAAGAGAGTGGAAAATCTGATGAAGCAGTGAAGGAAAATGGGGTCATCAATGGAGGAGTGGCTGCCAAAGAAGTGAACCAGAATGGCTTCGCAGTGTAGACGTTGAAGAAGCCAGCTGGGACTGGAAAAATGCAACAATATGTAGATTTCTACTGCCTTGGATTTTGTGTGTGATTTGTGGCGTCTCAAGTGAAGTAGAATATGAAAGATTGGCAAAACGTGTAAAAATTCTAGGAGTGGATGGATATGTTTCTCCACCGTTGTAAGCTTGAAATTTAGTGCATAAGAAATAGGAATTTGCTTTTACCAATTATGTGTACCTAACATTTCATAGAAGCTGGCTGTCCAAATTCATATTTAACTAAAATCATTTGAAGAATCTGTGTACTAATCAAAAGAAAATAACATCATTAATAAGTCATATTGGATATTTTACTATGGAAAACACAAAAGATGAAATTGCGTTCTAGTTGAAGCAAATAAAATAAGCTAGTGGAATTCGAATCCGTCGGCGATATCAGGAAAAAAGGGAAAATTATCAAAACAATCATAAATCTATTGCAATTGTGTCAATTCAATCCTAAATCTTTTTTTTTATGCCAATTCAATCCTAAACCTTTTGCTTTAGTGCCAATTTAGTCCATTTGACCTATTTTGGCCAGCCAGTACTGATGTGGCAAAAACATTATTTTTTAAAATTTTAAAATTTTTTTATTGTTTTTCTTTTCTTTCTTTTTTTTTCTCCTTCATCTTCTTCAACCTCAAGCTAGTCGTCGGTCTGGCGACCGGCCAGAGGTTGGGGCTGACGAGGTCGGCCCTGCCAGTCGCCGGCGAGGAAGAGCCTCGCCAGTTGCTGCCGAGAACGAGCCCTTGCCAGCGACGTTGCTAGGCAAGGACGAGCCTCGCTAGCGGTCGGCGAGGACGAGCCTCACCAGATGTGGTGAGGTCTTGTCCTCGCCGGTCGCTTCCAGCAATGGGTGAGGTCGACCTCGCCAGCGACAACGAGGATGGCCTCGCCCAACCTGGCCAGCGATGGGGAGGACAAGACCTCGCCAGATCTGGCTAGGCTCGTCTTCGCCGGCAACTGGCGAGGTTGGCCTCGCTCGAAGTGACCGGCGAGCACAAAACCTCGCCGGTCCCAGCCTTTGGCCAGTCATCGGCAGCAACCGATGAGAGGTTGAAGAAGATGAAGGAGAAAAAAAAAAGAAAGAAAAGATAAAAGATAAAAAAATTTGAAATTTTTTTTTGCCACGTCGGCATTGGCCGGACGACTAGCGTTTACGTCAACACCAGCCATCCAAAATTGGTCAACACTGAATTGGCACAAAAAAAAGGTTTATGACTGAATTGACACAATTGCAATAGGTTTAGGACTGTTTTGATTATTTTCCCCAAGAAAAAAGAACTTATGTAATTTGTAATTTCTTTTGAATTCTGGGCTTAAACTTAAATAACATTTTCCAATATGTGTAACCAAATGGTGTTGGCACCTTTTCTTTTTCAATACGTTTGATTAGAATGACCATGTTATCGTAGCTTGTAAATTGTAACATGCTTGGGAAATAAGTCTCGAAAATTAAGAAGGAAATTGGACGGGTCTAAAATGTGATGGCAACTGATATTTGCTTAGGTGAGTGGGCTCTACAGCCGACCAAAGAGTACTGTTATTAAAATTGGCATTGGCACAATGCGATTTTGGGTTTCATGAGTTTGTCTTAAGGAGCCTTGGGCCTTTAACTTTTTGATAGATCCTGTGAAAGTCAGCATTTTGACTTTTATTTAAGATAGAGCACTAAAAGTTTTAAAAGCATTCATATAGTCATTAAATGGGGAAAATTACAAAAATAGTCCTAAACCTATTATAATTGTGCCAATTCAGTCATAAATCTTTTTTTGTGCCAATTCAATCATGAACCTTTTGTATTTGTGCCAATTTAGTCCATCCGATCAATTTTGACCAATCGGTGCTGACGTGGCAATTTTTCAATATTTTTTTCATTTTTTTTTATTTTTTTTCCATCTTCTTCTTGGCTGGTTGTCGCCGGACCAGCCAGAGGTTGACGCCAACGAGCTCAACCTCGCCGACTACCTTGCCGTCGGTGGGCGAGGTCGAGGCTCACTAGTGCCGGCGAGGCCGAGCCTCGCCAGTGATTGGCGAGGTTGAACTTGCCGGCGTCAGCTACTGGCCAGTCCGGCGATGACCAGCCAGGAAGATGTTAAAAAAAATTGAAAATAAAATAAAATAATTCGAAAAAAATATAAAAATATATATAATTGCCACGTCAGTGTTGGCCGAACGGCCAGCACCGGCCGGAATCCACGTCAGCACCGGCAGGCCAAAATTGGCAGGATAGACTGAATTAGCACAAAAAAAAAAGGTTTAGGACTGAATTGGCACAAATATAAAAGGTTTAAGACTGAACTGGCACAAAAAAAAAAGGTTTAGGACTGAATTGACACAATTGCTATAGGTTTAGGACTATTTTGGTAATTTTCCCTATTAAATGTGGATTTATTTCACTGAAAATTTCATGATAAAAGATTAAAATTTTCGTGAAATTATTTTTCAGGAAAATATTTTTCCCTTTTTAGGTTAGGAAATTCATTTTCCTAACTTTAAATATACACATTTCTTTTTTACCGTACATGATTCTTCATTGACTGATCATTTTTAGAAAACCAAGCGCATAAAAGTTTAGAAGACTAATTTGCAAAAAATTCTTTCATTCAAACAAAGGAACCCTAATTGACCGTTTAGAATTCGAATTCTTAATGTTCTCAATAGTCTTTGCTATAATCTTGTAAAAGTCATCACTGTCTTGGGATCCTAATTTAGACTCTCGAACAGATGCCTCTGATGTCTCTGCAGCGAATTCCGTCACTACCACATGTCATCTAATTTAGTAATTCGATAGTATAATTTAATGGAAACTAATAGAGGGTAAATTTATCACGAGTGTACCAGCTTGGAGTTTTTTATGATCAAAAAATTAGTTTTGAGTAAATTTGTCACAGTTATACCAGTTTAGAGTTTTTTGTAGTATTAACCAAAAGTATAAACCTCTTTTTTTTTTTACTTTTTTTTCTAAACCCTAGCTATCCCACCCATAAATTACATATTTTGTGGAAACGTGGGGCCCTTGTTTTGTACGATCAAAGGAGTCCATCCTTGGACGAGTTCTATTCTTGGTCTTCTTGTTTATTTACTAAGTTGCCACCATTCCAATTTTGGGTTAATACCATAAAAATCCCAAACTAGTATACTTATGATAAATTACCCAAAATTAATTTTTTGATCACTAAAAACCCCAAACGATAGACTGTCCAAATTTAGTTAATTTCCATTAAATTTTCCACAATGTTAAATGACACGTGTGGCGAATGTTCAGGTAGGGTTCACCATCCGTTTGCAGGTTTCGTTAATTTCCATTAAATTTTTCCATCAAAGTTTTGGTGGTAAAAAATTAGTTTTAAATTTGACACGTGATAGAATTTCAAGTGTGTACAGAAACTTTAAAAACATTCAAATAGTCCTTGAAGGGACTGTTGGGAATTAAAATTTTCGTTTTTCGCAATAATCATTGGCATACTTTTGTCCAAAAGTTGTCTCTTCATTGGTTGCGTTCGTTCATCGTGTATGCATGTAAATTCCTTCTCGCGATTTGGCGTTATTCTAATCTTAATTATTCTTTCTCGCAATTGTGTGTTCTTTGCTTATTTCCGATTCCAGTAAACCCTTCTGTTCTCGGGACGAAAATCACCATAATTCCGGAATAAATCGATATGCAAATAGAGTTCAAGTGATGAAAAACTGTGAGATTTACTCAAGAAAACTTAAACTTTTGTGAAAATAAAAAGAAAAATAATCTACGATTAAACTAGAGGAAGCAATGTTGATTGTCTTCATACGGCGATGTAGAAACGACCAGCGTGCACGCTAAGGCAATATGTAGTTATTACAAAATTTGGTGTATATTGATCAAAATCGTGTAGGTTTCGATTATTTTGCTTGATAGATCCGTTTTATGGAATGAATACGTGCTTGACCCTGCCGGTGCTCTGTTGACCTTCTTTATTTTCTGGATTTGGCTTTATTTTGTTGTATTATGGGCTTTGCTCTGCTTGGATTTTCTTTGCCATAAAATCAATGTGCTTCACATGTATTCTTTTGAGCAATTAACAAAATTTTCTTTCGACAAGAAAAAAAATTTAGATTGAGTATAAATAACGCGGCTATAATTATGCTAAAGGATAAAGTAACAAATGGATTTTGAGTTTAAGCTATGGGAGGCGGCTTTCCGACCAAGTTTGATCACGCGGTTTCGCGTTAACGCAAATTTAGCTGCGCCGCCACCCTCGTTCTGCACGAGGACGAAGTCTCATAGTCAAAAGAACGGAATTACTTAATTAATTTTATGTTGGCAATGCAATAGTCAACGCCTTAGTCTTCAGGATTGATACCAAAAGAGAGTATAAACAGAAATATCTTTCGTCTTTCTTCGTTGGCAAAAAGCAGGGAAGGAAACATCCAAGTTGCTGCTTAAAATTTTCTCTGTTGTTGCTTTTGTTCGGAGTGTGCATTATAAATGCCCCACCAAGCGACATTCTAACACAAACCAGTTCGCAGTTTAGCTCAACATTGCTCTCAGTTCTTCGAGTCCGTACACAATTTCCAGTCAGTGTTGTCCTCTCTTCTTCAAGCATGCAAACTCCGACTTCTTGATCGTCGTATTTGGAATTGAAGGACCGTAGGACAAACGCGGTGCATTTCGGTGCGAGAGCTTTGCGTGTGTATCAGAGGTATGAAAATATGATTACGATCTAGTTTTTCTCTAATCTGTCATAGTGGATACATCAAAGTTCATCTCAGAACCTGAACACTAATGTTAGCTAGAATGAACGTAAATGTACTGTTCAAACTGAATCAAAGCATGTGTTTAGAAAAATTCTCTGTGCAATGATTAGTGCCGGCAATTTTTGTGACCTTCCATCTGCAGAGGATTTGCATATATGCTATCTCCAGATAGCTTCCCTTTTCCTATCTCCAACAATGATTCAACTAATTCATTGATCTCATATGCATCACAAACAGATAGAAACTACTCGGTGCTGCTAATTATTACTTGATACTAAAGAAAATTGGGCTTGTCCCCGTCTATCTCCTAACTCACAGATTCAAGCTTCATAGACGCAAGATGTTTGCCCAGTGTGGATCCGCGATCGGTGGGCTCGTGCTCCTACAGGCAATGCTCCAGCAATACTTCCCTTCCATACTCCGTCACCTCTTGGAACGACATTTCCAGAAATGGTT